TCATGAGTTTTTGGCTTAGCCTGCTCTTCTAGAAGTTTAAGATTCACCATTAAGTTATTTGTGGTTGCACTGTTTTCCTGACATGGGTATTCACTGTTATAAATTTTCCTTTTAAGACTATTTTCATCGTGTTCTACAAGTTCCAGCATGTTGTATTGTCATTATCATTTAATTGTAGAAACTAATTTCTTTAATTTCATCTGTGACCTATTGGTTGTTCAGGAGGATGCTATTTCAATTCCATGTGTTTATGAAGTTCTTTTGGTTTCTTTTGCCATTGATTTCCAATTTTATTGCAGTATGGTCTGATAATACACATGGTACAATTTCAATTTGCATTTATTCAAGCATGTTCTATCAGCTAGTATTTGATTTATTTTGGAAAATGTCCCATGTGCAGCTGAGAAGAATGTGTACACTAATGTTGCAAGGTGGAACTACATAGACATCTACTAAATCCATTTGTTAAAGTTTGGTTTTATTATTTCATTGCTTTTTTTTTTTTTTTTTTTTTTTTTTTTTTTTTTTTTTGGTCTAGCCAATCTTTTTTTGTGACAGTGGATTATTGTGATCTCCCAATACTATTGTAATAGTACTTATTTGATTTTTTATGTCTGAATTTGTTTTATGTAGTTGGGTGCACTGTTATTTGTTGCATATTATCTCTTCCTCTGGTAATATTCCCTTTATAAGGATGGAATGAATTTGTCTCTCTTAACCAGTCTTGGCTTGAAATTCACTTTGTCTGCAAATAGTATTGCTACCCCTACTTTTTTTCTGTGTTCCTATCACATGAAATATTGTTTTCTAGCCTCTGGAATTTCAGTCTATGAAATTTCTTTTTGAATTAAATGTTTTTTAATGCAGCATACTGTTGGATCTTCCTTCTTGATCCATTCTGCCACTCTGTGTCTTTCAATTGAGGGCATTAACATTGATGGTTATAACCAACATGTATTGACTTATCCTTGTCATGTTATTTTTCCACTGTTGGTTCCCTCTCCCTCCATTTGTTTGCCTTGCCTGGTGGATTTCTTCTGTTGGGGTTCATAAAGTTGTAGTCTTTGTTACCTTTCTATAATGTCCTTCAAAACAGTTTGGAGTGCTGGATTGGTTGTCATAAATCTACTCAAATGTTCTTGTAATGAAAGTATTTTATTTCTCCAACAGTTGTGACAGATAGTTTTGCAGGGTACATCTATCTGGGTGCAGGTTGTTTTCCTTTAGAACTTGAAATACTTCATTCCAAGCTCTCCTTGACTTCAGTTTGTGCTGAGAAGCTGTGATTCTGATGAGCTTTCCTTTATAGGTGATTTGTTTATTTTCCCTAACATTTTTTAAGGTTCTTTTTGTTGTTGTTGTTTAAATGTATTTGGTTGTTGCAGGATCTCACTATGCAGCTCGGACTCATCGTGATCCTCCTTTCAGCATCCCCAGCGCTGGGATCACAGGCATGTGCCACTGAGGCTGGCATGGCATGTGGTGCTGGGGATCAAATTTGGTCCCTGCGCTTGACTAAGCTCGCCTAAGCAGGTGCTTTAGTCTGCTGAGCTATCTCGCCAGCCACAAGGTTCTATTGTTTTGAATTTGTGGAATCTTGACTATGATATGTATGGCTGTAGATTTTTTTTATCATCACTAACTGGAGTTTTATATGCCTGACTTAATCTGTATTTTATCTATTTTTTATTTTGGGGGTTATTTTTATTTATTAATTTTATTATTTCATTTTGAAAAGTAAAAGACAAAAGCAAGAACAAAAATCAGAAACAGGGGGCTGGTGAGATGGCTCAGTGGTCTAAAGCACCTACTTAGAACAAGTTTAGCAAAGCACAGGGACCGCAGTTCAATCCCCCAGCACCACATGCCAGCCAGCCCTGCCCCCCGGTGGGCTGAGCTGCACCCTCCATAAATAAAATTTTTTAAAAAAAAATCAGAAACAGGGCTAGCCAAATAGCTTAGTGGATTAAAGCACTTGCTTAGGCAGACTCAGCAGCTGGGGTTCAGTCCCCAGCCTGCCATACCGGCCCCACTCCCGGGGCATGCTGAGATGGCAATGGAGACTGGGTATGGTGGTGTGCACCTGTAATCCTACTGTGATCCTGTAGAACCTTACTAAAAAAGAATACAAAAAAAACAAAAAAATCAGAAACAGGGTAACATACATGTTACAGATTTTCAGAACAAAAATAGCTGATTAACAATGATTGATATATTATCTATCTTTATCATCAAATCTGTTGCTCAGATTAACAGATGTAGTTATATAAGAATGGACATATTACTGTTCGTTTTCCAGGAACCTTAAACTTTTGTTCTTGTCCCTCTTTTGTTTTTTAAAAAATTATTTTGAAGAGTTATAGTAATAATTGATATGACATTAGAAATAGTACACATTTAGAAGACCAAGATGACAAGTATTCAAGCATGATTTTTGTATTACACATTGCTCTCCTTGATGTAGTTGCTTAGGTTGCAGATATCCTCATAGTTAGTCAATTCTACACATTAATTGCTATTTTAAAAAAACTGAGGGGTAGGGCCGGGGAGATGGCTCAGTGGAATAAGCGCTTCCCTGGCAAGCACAAGGGTCTGAGTTCAATCCCCGGTTCCACAAAAAAAAAAAAAAAAAACTGATGGAAAATTTTAGTACAACTTACCTGTATTTTTTTTACCATGACATCTGTGAAGGTTTTTTTTAAAATATCATTTTTGCTACTTCCTGCTTTTTCACTGACTCAAATCAATCTTGTTATTCTTCTTTGCCTCATGTAGCAGCTACTGTGTTGATTTTTCATGGTACTTTTTTTTTAGTAATAGGGATTGAACTTGGGACCCTGCACTTGCCAGTCAGGCACTCATGCAGCTGAGCTATATCCCTGACCCATCCCTCGCTATTTGTTAACAAATCTTTCATGATCATTAACCACAAGTCTGACTTACATATACTTTGAGGTCCTGTCCTTACATTGGCTTATCCCTCTCCTGGCCAGTCACTCTCTTGCATCAGACAATTGAGTTCTCGGCACTCACCACCAGCTAGTGCATTCCTTCATAACTGCTGCTCCCCTCCCCTGCTGTATCCCTCCATGGAGGCCTCTGGGGTTGCCAGCAGTTACCGTGTGTCCACAGCTTTGAGTCACTCTTCTCACACAGTGAGTCCTGTCTTAGGTATAAGGTGTCACCAGCTACCTCCCTCGTCTTCACTGAAGTTTCTTCACTCTCCATGGGCTTCAATTCATGCTACAAATCACTTTCCTCCTTCTAGTCTTCCTCAAGTTGCTGTATTTCAGCATCCAGATCACAACTCTCAGAAAGACTCTTTCTCTGCTGTTTACCACTCCACCATATTGGTGCTTCTCCCTTTGTCATTTGGACATGAGTCCTCAGAAAGTTGCCTGGGCCAGGCTCAAATTTTTGATTCTCCTGCCTCAGCTCCCAGAGTGCTGGGATTACCCTGAAGCTAATCTTGAGAGCATATTAAAAAATAACACAGCGAGAGAATTGTTGAGTTCTGGGCCCCCACAGTCAAGGTTCACGCAGAGATGGTTGACTATCCTTTCAGCAATGACTTGGCTTAAGTTCTTATTGCTCAAAGCTCTAGCTTGTTGATGGGATGACAGCTATAGCCATTCTGTTCTGTAAGAATGCTATACTGAATGAACAGTCACCTAACTTAGGGAACAAGGTAGTATCTATGATCCCTTAGAGGGCCTAGCAGAACTCAAAGCTATAGCACCAAACTCCCTCAAGTGGTGCTGGTTATCTGTAGTATAAGTTACCTAAGCAGTTTAGTAGAAAGTAAAATTCATAGCTGAGCACAGTGGTTGCCTACAGTCCCAGCTGTTCTGGAGGCTGAGGATTGCTTGAGCCCAGGAGTTCAGGCCAACCTAGACAACAGAGAAAGATCTTTTTCTGTTGTTGTTGTTGCTATGAAAAAAGAAAACTCATCTGTTACACCCATCCTTCACTATTTTGGGAGAGAAGGAAGACAACAGAAATCTGAGTTTAAAATAAACTCCAGGGCGCTGGTGAGATGGCTCAGTGGTCTAAAAGCACCTACTTAGAACAAGCTTAGCAAAGCACAGGGACTGCAGTTCAATCCCCCAGCACCACATGCCAGCCAGCCCCACCCCCTGGTGGGCTGAGCTGGCCACACACACACACACACACACACACACGCACAAATAAAATAAAAATTTTTAAAAATTAAAAAATAAAATAAACTCCAGAATTGGTACACATAAGTTTGAGAGATGATGTCCAGGACACGATCCATGCCTTCTATTAGTTTATACTCTGGACCTTTGTACACGCAGCCACTGTGGGTCAATGTTTTTCGTCACTAAGGTACACATGCAGCAGAACAGGAAGCTTTAGGCTTGTCTTTGTTGGTCAAAGGACAGAAACCAGGGGATTGGAATCAGGTACACTCCTCACTGATGCTCATCATTTCCAGGTAAAAACAAATACAAAGTGCCACACTGTAACCAGGACAAGAGCAGCCGGGAACAGGCAGGTATCTAGGTGGCCTTGGATTTCAGCAATCTTCCTCTTAAGAATTCATTCACATGAAAGACTGCAGCCCACTGCTACCAAATCCAGTGAGGTTAAAAACTCTCCAGACTAAATAAAATTCTGCCATCCCCTAAATCCCTCTAGGAGTCACAGGAGAGTGTGATTTTCCTGCGGTTACTCCTAGATGAGGAGTCCACTTAGTTCTATTGACTGGTAAAGCAGGTTTCATCACCCACTTTGACAGAAGAAAACTGAGGTCCTAGGTTAACTGGAAGACACAAATCCTGTATGCATAATAGGGACATGGAGAGAATAATATAAATTATATCCCCAGAGCACACTGAGCAGATGCAAACCACAGACTAACACCTGGGGTTGGGGCTCTAAATCTTGGACAAAACCATTCCTGAGCCCTCAAGGATAAACGGTAGAGGTGCACTGAAGACAGACATAGCATGGGTGCTTGATAACACAATCCAACTGGGACCAGTTAAAGTGCCTTTATTTTCTCCTATAAGATGTTCTTAAAAAAAAAAAAAAAAAAAAAATTCCTTCGTTCTAGCATACCATGTCCAGTGGGTGTAGAATGGGTGGAGCCAGGGCCAGCCCCCTAGGAAAAGGTGTGGGAGTAGAAGGCAGTGGCACTGACACTGTAGTCCATGGGAAGGACGTGCCCAACATGCCTGGCCCCTAAGATGGCCCCACCTAGGGCGGAGGAGTACCTCAGCTTCATCAGGGTGAAGCCAGAGAAGGAGTTCTGAGCCTGGAGCTCTCTGCCCTGGGTCAGTGCTGTAAGGAAACCTGGAAGGAAGAATGCAAGGGTAAAAATGAGACAAGACCAACGGCCTGTAGAGAACTGGGAAAAGAGGAGGGGACAAAGACACCCAGGCATTTCTGTGAAGGTGCTGGAGGAGCCCACATGCCAAGCTTCCAGCACACCAGGTGTACAACAAAGAAACAGCTGAGGTCTGGAGCCAACAGCCTGGTAACTTGACTTCTCACACATGCAATGCCAGAAACTTCAACGGGGGTCCCTAAGCTACAGCGGCATGTCAGATGGAAACACACAACTGCTCAAGAGTAGGCTGTCAGGCTAAGAAGTCATGTTTCTTTTCTTTTAGCCAGGATTATGTTGATAAGGGGTATCACCACAAGTCAGCATAGGTTGGAAAGAGTTCTGATTCTCAGACTTGATTTTTAAGTTTTAAAAAGCAGTTATTTAATAATTCATTTGGAAAAGAACATCTTTTTAGGAATCTTAGGAGCTTGGGGTATTAAGTGGCAGACACATGGTTAGCAAAGACAAGGTGCTTGGATCAATCAATACACCAAAATAAAGAAGCTGGATTGAACACAGTAAAATCAAGAAGTTGTATGGAGCATAGTAAAAGGGCTCAAAGGCATAATGAGGGCTCAACGTCACTGTCAGTGGCCAGTGTCCTGCCCTCAGGGCTACATTTCAGCTCTCACAGTGGCATCCAGTTTCCCTAGGTCACCTCCTTCCCAGTCCCATCCTCTACTATGTCCCTCCCCACCTTCCCACCCTAGACCCACCTTCCTTCAGCAGATCCCAGCTCTTCCACACAGAGCCCACACACAAGATGGGGAGGCCCATCTCTCCTCGGAACAAGACCTGGGAAGAGAGCCAAAAATGAGAGCCGTGGGCCAATGAAGCCTCCCCTGCTGCAGGGCTGGTTTCCTCAGATCACCCCCCCCCCCACCTCAGATGCCCTCCCTGAGCCAAGCAACAGAAGGTAGGCTCAAGAAAAGAAAATGAGGTAAGCAATAATAACAGAGAGGACAGAGTAAAGGGAGAGGATTGGACAGAATGGGGCAGCCCCATCCCTGATGGTGAAGGAGCAGGTCTGGCCGAGCAGCTGCCCACTGTCACATCCCACCTCTACTCACCGGGTCAATCTCAGGCAGCACTGCCACAACATGCCGGCCGAGCATCTCACCAGCCTTCCTGAAGATGTATCGCGAAAGGGGGTCTCCCTGCTGAGCACCTGGGGTGCGGAGTAGGAGCTGGTGAATACCTGAGGAGCCACCTGGCCTGGGTTTTTCTCTCCCTGTTACAAGGCATCAACCACAGAACCACCTGGAGCTTGTGAATTCTGGGTGAGGGCAGATGCCCAGTGTCATCTCTCCACCATCCCTCTTGGAGAACGCCATTCAGAAGTGGCTTATCGGGCACAGGGAACTGCAGCACCCTGCAGCCCCCAACACCAGGTTATTATGGTTTTTTGTTTTTGTTTTTGTTTTTTTTTTAATCTAATGTATTTGGTACAGGGTCTATAGGGTCTCACTACGTAGACTGGACTCATAGTGATCCTCCTGTTTTCAGCCTCCCAAGCACTGGCAGTACAGGCATGTGCCACCATGCCCAGTCTCAATCAAGTCTCAGCGCGCCCCAGGGGTGGGGCTGGCATGGCAAGGTTACTATGTTAACACAGGGCTACTGGACATCTGTTCCTTTTCATCTCTAAGTCCTGGGCACCCAGGACCCTGGCTGTGAAGTTAGTCAATGAATTCTGCCCATACCCCACCCTCCTCTAGCAGTCTGCTGTCAGCCAACGCTTTACAGGCTCTGTTCTGGAAATCCTTGCTCCAACAGGCTCTAAAAGCCCCAGGACAGGGGCTGGTGAGATGGCTCAGTGGTCTAAAGCACCTACTTAGAACGAGCTTAGCAAAGCACAGGGACCACGGTTCAATCCCCCAGCACCACATGCCAGCCAGCCCCGCCCCCTGGTGGGCTGAGCTGGCCACACACACACACACACACACACACACACACACACTCTAAAGAAATAAAGCAATGGATTCTAAAAAAAAAAAAAGCCCCAGGACACCCTATAGCAAGGGAATCCATATTAAGGAAGTGTAGGACTTAAAGCAGAAAAGCAATGTGTGTACTCACAAACTCTGCACTTATTTTCTGACACCTAACAAAACATGCCCAGGCTCTCCTTAGATAGTTCTTTGAGTATAATTGTTTTTAAGAAAAGGTATAGATTTAATATAATGGCCTCCTGAAGTTCTCAAAAACAGGCATATGGCTTACACAAGCCATGACAGTTGGAGAGGAGAGAAACCCAGGTAACAAAACACTGCCAACAACCTCTTTGCCCTTCTGTGCAACTCCAATGCCCACTGCCACAAAGTGAGGAGGTGGAACATTGTGGTCACTGAATGAGAGGGAAACCAGCATCCAGGCCCCACTGAAACCCAACTCTGGCCCCTTGTTAGTGGAGAATAAAGCCAGGAGAAACCCTGCCCCACCTTCAGTACCTTCTGCAATTTTCCGGCAGAACCCGGCAAACCTGCTTTTATCAAAGTCCCTGTAAAGGTGGGTGAGGATTCCTAGCCGATCTGGCACCTGAGAGGTAAAAAGGAACGTAAGACAGTAATTAGGAGCAGACAAAATCCCTACTATGCCCTCCAGGTTGACCTGCCCAATGTCTCTACTATGTGAAAAGCTTGAATAGTTCTGGGGTTTTTTTGTTTGTTTTTTCTTTAAACTCTAGAAATTATAAAGGTTTAAGATTTTTCTCATTTGGGAAGTTTTGTTTTCCCCAAAATGAACTTTGTTGCTAGTTACAGATTAGCTTAAAGGTAGCAGAGCACACAGACCTGTGTTCACCACAGAGCCTTCTGGAGTTTCATGAAGTACTCTTGGCAAGAGTTCTTTGGTCAAAGGGATCTAAGAAATAATGCACACTTCAAGTCTCCTTTAGAGAATCACCATATACATTCATGAATCAGAGACTTTGAGGAGCACTGAAAACAAGAAATGAATTCATTCCTCCATATTTATTTGATTATATAAGGCCTTTCTTCCACCAACAAACCTCTCCACCCTGAACACCTTTAAATTCCGGAGGAATGATTCCCCGGAATACATCTTAGTAAAGGGAGGAGCACTAAAATGTGAGCAACTACAGTGATGTTCCAAGCTCTTTATACACTGTCTCACTTAGCCTTGGTAAATATATCTGTATCTATACCTAGATAGGTAGATATTATATATATTTTTTCAGTGCTTGTGATCAAAGTTAAGGCCTCATGCAATAGCAGGCAAGCACTCCATCACTGAGTTATGCCTTCAGGTCGGTGGGTGGGTGGGTGGGTGGGGCGGTCGGTCAGTGGGTGGGTGGGTTGGTTGGTTGGTGGGTGGGTCGGTCGGTGGGTCAGTCAATCTATCTATCTATCTATCTATCTATCTATCTATCTATCTATCTATCTATCTATCTATCTATCTGGCCTTGCTAGAAGGCACAAGCTGGCTTTACACTTGTGATCCTTCTGCCTTAGCCTGCAGATTAGCTGAAATGACAGGCAAGCACCATTGTGCCATCTGGTAAGAACTGTACAAGAATGACTATAGGCTGGGTTTGGTGTTACAGGCCCGTAATCTAGACACTTGGGAGGCTGAGGCAAGAGGATTGCCTGAATTCAAGGCCAGCCTAGGCTACATAAGGGAGTTCAAGGACAGCCTGCAATACACAGTGAGACCCTGTCTCAAAAAAAAAAAAAAAAAGAAAAAAGAATGAATGTAGGCTATGAGAGAACAGTAGACATGCTAGTGGCTGGGCCAAGATAGTTTAGCTAAACTTCCTACAGCCAACTTTTTCAGAAGAGCTTTCTCTTCTAGTCTGGCCCCTTAGATTCCTCACTTTTACACAAGGCAGGGTTCCCCTTACTCACTGATCTCTCAGCCCCAAGAAGACAAGTTCTCCTTTTCAGCATCTCTAAGCTCCTTCCTTGGCCCTGGCCCCAGCTTATCAAAGTGACAAGACAAAAAGACTGGCCTTCATGTAGACAGACAGATTTATAATTCTTTTTTTTTTTTTGTTTTTTGACGGAACCGAGGATTGAACTTGGGCTCTTGTGCCTGCCAGGGAAGAACTTAATCCACTGAGCCATCTCCCCAGCCCCCTAGATTTATAAACAAACTAATCCCCCGACCCTTTCTCCCTTCCACCTCTCTCACCTTTCACCTGTGGATCTGCTAAAGGATACTGCTTCTCCTAACACCTCCAATAGCACAGAGAAGGACCCAGTGCCCTGGGTAGAAGGCTGTACATCTCCACGGTCCTTCCCTGCCTGCCTCTTACTGGGCTCTCCTGACGCACTCAGACCAGAAAGCAGCTCAGCACTTGTTCAGCTCCACCTGCTGCCTCCGCATCTGAACCTCCCCCACATGGTTCATCCTAGCCCAGAATGCCCACGCTTTTATCTCCTATAGGGGTTTAGCTGACCAAAAACAAAGCCCAGCTAGCCACCTGTCCCCAAACTAGTCCTTCCTATGACTCCATTCTGGGATGCAATGCCACATCATTCTGAATGCTGTTCTCAACTGTAATTTCTCCCTGATGTAGCTGAACCAACTTTGGCCTACCCAGCCCTATGGTGTCCCATAGCTACACCATCTTAGCGTCCCCACTGCCCTATCGTAGGTGTGTGTGTTCACTAAGCGGGAAGGGCAGTACCTGGAAATAGCTGAACATGGCCTGCTTGACGTAGCCAATATCATGAGGAGCTGCCTCGAGATTGTCAATGGAGTCAAACACTATTTTCATTGCTTGATGTGCGATCCAATAGGCTGTAAAAAGCAGAGAGGGCTAAGAAAATCTCTCCAAGCTCACCAGAAAGGAAACACAGAGGGGCCGAGGAGATGGCTCAGTGGAATAAGCGCTTCTCTGGCAAGCACAAGGGCCTGAGTTCAAATCCTGGTTCCGCAAAAAAAAAAAAAACTGCTTGGAAACACAGAGCTAGATGGAGTTAGTGATCTATATGGGTTTTATAGCAAAGGTTCCTGATTCCCAATGAGTGGGGTGGGGAGGTGGTGATGAAGGGCCTATAATCAAACTGCTTCTGACTCACCCAGATATAAGGGAGGGACAGGAGAGGAAGACAGAATAGGTAAGTCTGTGTCACATTCCTACACCTTGTTCCTATGCCAAAACAAGGCTGGTCACTTCTCACAGGCTCTCATGAGTTGGACCCCAAGAGGTCCTATGAAATGTACATGTCATCCCTAAAAAGGTGAAGTGGGAGGAATTTTCATACCCCTTTCCCACTACCAGATAGGTATGGCATGACCTGGCATCTAGGCATGTCCTTATCCTTCTGTTTCAACTCTTCACTAAGTCTCCAAAAGTAAGCACAGGTGGGTCACAGCCACTGTGCCAGGGTATGAATCTAATCCTGGCGCAATTCACTGCTGAAGAGCAAGGTCAGCAGTAAGTCTAGCATTTGCATCTCTCTGATCTGCCAGCCATTATTCTGCACTGGTCAGGCGGATGACCTGCCCTCAGAGAGCTCCGGGGACACAGCAAGCCAAGAGCAAGAAGCTGGGAATGTGCAGGAAAGGAAAGTTCCAGGCCCATGAGCCAGGCCTGTGCAAGCTCACCTGAGCCCTCGTCTCCCATTATGTGGCCCCAGCCACCGCAGCCACTCTCAGAGCCATCAGGGTTGATGAGTCTGCAGTTAGAGCCAGTCCCAGAGATGAGCACGACTCCACCTGGGGAAAGGGCAGCGCAGGCTCAGGGTGGGCAAGGCCTGCACAGAGCAACAGCTTCCGACTTCAGCCAGACAGGACAGAAACCTGCCCCACCCCCAGACAAAGGGATCACTACCAGGTCTTGCAGAGCAGAAAACTGAGCCCAGCTAATGTCCTGCCTAAGGGGGAGCATCTGGGGCTCAGAGAAACTCCAATCATGAGTCTTAACCTCCCTGAGAGAACTTGGCTCCTTGTCCAAGAAGTCTTTAGGTGACTCTACCTGACTTCCTGGGTGCTCACTGGGTGCTAAACCCTGCTTTTACAGTGACAGTACCCAAAGTACCTATGAGTACAGGTTTACAGATGAGACCAAAACTCAGTTCTATCACTTCTCTGAGATGGCACAGCTGGCAAACTAGAAGCTGGGATTCAAACACCACTTGATGCCAGAAACCTTTCCCCTGCCAGAGCTCCCCTGCTTCCTCCCTGGAAAGAAGGCTTCCCCCAGTGACTGGCTCACCACACTGCCCCCAGGGCTCCTTCCTCTGCAAGTGGAGCCTTTTCTTCTGACTCCACTCTTCACTTCCCACCACTGGGCCTCTCTTGCCCTCCCTCCTTCTATCCACCCAATCCTTGCTCTGGTGTGGACTTTCACTCCTGAAAAAAAGACAGTCAGGAGAATATCGATAGAGGATGCCTTCCAGGCATTTGTAAGACAAGTTTTCCTGGCTACCACTAAGGGGCTTTATCGAGAAGACCAGTTCTCAACCTCACCGTCCCTCCACTTCCTCACCATCCGGAGTAGCTGTGGCGATGGAGCCTGCGGCATCGGTGGTGATTAAGTAGTTTTCACTCAGGTTGGGAAATCGGTCCCTCAGCAACTCCACCAGGATCTTCACTGCTTCCTCCTGCTCCCCACCGCTCAGGGAAAGGCCCTAGGCCATGTGGGAGGTGAGGAGCCAGCAAGCAGAGCCCCAGACCCTGCTCCTGTCTCAATCCCCTCCCCTCCTGCACCTGTTCGCTACATCTGGCTACACCGTGCTCAGCAGTCAGTCCCTCCACCCCATACAATGACTCCCCCAGAAGCCGACAGCTGTGGGAACAGCCTGGGAGTAAGGATAGACAGAAGAAATGGGATTCAACAATGTCCTTTCTGGAGCTTGGAGGGTAGCTGAGCTTTCAGAAAAATCAGGCAGAGCGGCAGGTGAAGGGAGATGCTAGAGAGACATGCTTGGGTGAAAATGCATGGAGTTTGGCTGTACCTGAAGAACACCTTGCTTACATCCAAGGAGTAGTGGGAGCTATATAGCTTGGGAGGAAGATCTCAGCTGGGACTGCAAATAGCTAACAGCTACTAGTGCCTGTGGGTCAGGCCACGTGCTAACCATTTTGGGATACACCAGGTCATTTTACTTTGCCAGCAACTCAGAAGTAGCTTCTGCTATCCACACTGTCAAAATGAGGATACTGAGGCTTAGAGAAGGTAAATAGCCTACTTAAGGGTCACGCAGTGGTAGAGACTGGATTTAAACCAAGGTCTCATGGACTCTCCAGAGCCCACACTCTTCCAGAATACTTATAGCTCCTTGGCAACTAAAGCCATGAGAATGGGTAAGATTGCCAAAATTCCAACATGAGGGATGAGGGCCATGGAAGCCTTTTCCTCTACATCATGAAGTCCAAACTTTCCACTTGTCTCAGCATCACTGGTAGCTTAATTCCCCGATTCCATCTAAGACTCACCAAGCTTCGCAGAGGTAGCAGAAGGTCTACCCCTGCTTTCAGTTTGGCACTGTTCACCATCTCGTTGATCCGCTCCACACATTTGTCTGTCCCGATCAGCTGGCCCCAATCAAGGGAAGGAGGAGTTACAAAGGCCTGCAGGACCTGTGTGGCCCCTACTTGCTGCCCTATGAGTCCCAGTGTCCACTTCAATGGGAGTCATAAAGAATAAAATCAGAAACCAGCCCTCTGGTCCCCTCAGTATGGCTTTTACCCAGTGGTTTGTGCTGAGTCCATCTGCTTCTGCCAGGATCTTTCCATCTTCTGAGAGCAAAAGTACCTTGGACTGTGTGCCTCCCCTACAAAACACAAGAGGGCACTCAGTCCTCCTCAGAAAAACTTGTAGGTAAGAGCTAAGCTTGTACAGCAGTCCTTGTTGCAGGCAGAGGGCAGGATGACAAAGGAGACAGCGCAGCAAACAGTCACCACTCCCAGAGCTGCCCCAGGGATTTAAAGTCTGCCGTGCTCTTCAGACTGAAACAGCTTCTACTCATCTTCCCTTGGGAATATCCTACTTATCCTGCAAGACCCTGTTTATACAGCACCTGGACCTTGCGAGCTTCTCCAATGGGTGGCCTATCCCACACGGTGTTCCACGAGGTACGGTTTCCTAGTGCCTCTTGGCTATTAAAGGCTCCTGTCTAACAAGAGTGTGCTCATCTAGTTTTGTGTCTATCTTACTAGATTATGAATGCCGGTGGCAAGCTCAGGAACATATATCTAACTTCATAACTAGTACAGATCTTGGCACAGGCAACCCTTGGTAAAGATGGCCTAAGAGGACAGTACATCTCTCTGCTTCTCTAATAACCGTGAAGGCTGCCTTTCAAGTTCCAGCTCCAGTTGCCAAGGTCTTCAAGACACCTTTGTAAGACATGACTGGTGGATGGCATGGGAGTTTATAATTACTTAAGCAACTAACCCCCCAATGCTAACTACTGGAGGAAACAGCAGCTTACAGGGATATCTGTGGTGGTGGAATCTTAACAGAAAAAAATGAGTTACATCTCACAAATCAATCTGACAGGGAAGAATGCAAACTCCTATAATGTATTTAGTTTTTAAAAACTGCTACAGATACAGAATGGAGCTCAACCTTAACAACTCATGTGAAAAGAACGTGGGGTCTGTAAGTGAGCAGTGCGATGTGGCTGCCAAAGCGGGGAATGCAATCTCAGATTCAAAGGCTGAGATTAACAGTCCCTTTCTATCTGACTCAGATTCACAGAATGTTTGACCTGGCAGGGGATCGACTGAGCAACCAATTGATCATTTTATTCATCCCTGTACTTACTTGAAACACAGGGTAACTGAAGACCAAAGTGGACAAAATATCTTACCCAGAGTCAGAGCTATTACCAAAAGTCCAACAGACAAGCTCTGAGTAGAAAAACGCAAGAATCTTAGTGGGCTCAATCCAGCCTGTGAAGCCTATTGTGCTAACAGGAAGGAGGTCATGTCTGGCCATCAGAAGCTGATTGTGGTTCGCACCAGGTGCAGCTTCCAGATACCATCTTCATCCTAGCTCCACCTCCCTTCCAACTCCCCGCCCCGAGCCTGATTTGTATTCCTCAAAACTCGCAGGCTAGGAAGGAAAAAAAGGAGACCCAAAGTCAGCAAAGTAAGGAGTTTGTGGAAGGGGCGTGGTTCCGCAGTGAAATACAAAGGATCCCCGGGGCATGATCTTGTCATCCGCGGAGTTTTTCTAGACAACCGCCACTCGAGCAGGGGCCCCGCTAGGTGTGCACACACCCTTCCTCCGTAGGGTGTCACAATCCAGAAGCCCAAAGTGGCCGGGACCCGGAGGTACGAGACCATCTGTCATCCCGCGCGATCACCTTTCGTCTCGCCCTTCACCTGAGATGGCCAAGGCCGCCCCTCCCGGCCTCCCGCAGTAAGGCCGCACTCACCCCTCCACACCTCCGTAGAGCACGGCCATGCTGCTGCCACAGACGGCACAGGTCCCCCGGTGTGCTTCCCTAGCCTGCCCGCAGCCGCTCTCCCTCCAGCCAGCTCAGCACCGCCCCCCGTGACGTCACCGCGGCCGGGCGGGCCGGCTCCCAGCGCGCGTGCGCGATGCGTGGCTCGCCGTACCGCCCCTCGTCTGGGGCTGGCCGGGCCGAGCGTTCTTCTTCGGGTCACCTGGCGTGTTCCTTAGCAGCTTCTTGCAGAGGAAGACCCAGTCCCCCGGGACGTATCCCGGATGCTAAGAGGAGCAGCGACAAAGGGATATCCGACACGCAAAGACCTCGTCGGTCCCTGGGCACCCGGAAGTTGCTGTCAGCCCCGGCGGCCCTGGGGGTCACGTGGACTGCGACGTAGCGGGTGACGCACGCGGGGCCGCGCTCTCGGAGGCGTGGTCCCGGAGCTGTGTCCCGGACCCGTAGTGGCGCTGGAATGGTCGGAAAGTTCGGCTCGGTGGCAGCCTGGCTGTGAACGCAGACCCGTGTGCAGGTTTTCACGCGCCGCTCATGTGAGCGGACGGAGCGCAGAGAGGCTGGAAAAAAGAAAAGCCGGCTCCATGCTGCGCTGGCCTCCCCCGAGCCTCGAGGAGCCTTCGGCTCTTACCTGGTCTAGTTCTTTGCGCAGGGCATTTGCGTGGACGGAGTAGCGCGCAGATGAGCAGATGGTTTCCCTGGCTTTTTAATCGCCCTCCAACCACCACCCCGCTCCTCATCCTTCCTTACGTGGCGCTGGGAGAAAAAGTGGGAGCCGCGAGGTAGAAAGCGCTGGCCGGGTCTGAGGCCCCTCGGGCTTCTCCCGGCGCTCCTGGGTTAGATGGCTGACCTCGGCTGCGCTTTGGGATCAGCCTGGGGACGGTCCTCAGGAGCAGGGCTGCCCCGGAGCAGGCCGGTCCCCTGCCCAACTGCCACCCTTGCAGAGAGATTTTCAGTGAGGATCCCTTTCTCTGTAGCAACCAGCTGGGTCTAGTTGTTTTGACACGATCATTCTGTCATACAGAGTATAAGCTTTTTTTTTAGACTAGAAGAAAGGAAGGAGTGCTTACTGATATAGGTCATGGTCTTGGTATGAATTGCTGAATTATTATGGTGGTCATCCACTATGGCTGAAGCCCTTAATACAACAGCTTATCTTCCCAGAGACCACCTCCCCACTTCTCTAACTCAGCCCAGGGTGCAGTTTCCTTTTACCTTTCCCGCCACCTCAGGGAAGGCCCCAATCAGCTCCTCAGGTATATCTAAACTTCCCCCTCAAACCCCACCCCTGGCAAAGGCCATAAAAGCCTCAGCCTCGTTTTGTTCCAATCCAGAGAATTTGTTATCTTCCCAAATTCTCTCCATGTCCTGCAAGATAATGAAGCCTCTTTCCCTTTTCCCTTTTCCCTGTTTCTCTGCTGCGACACCGTCAAAACCTATCACTTGAGGACTGGGGAGATAGCTCAGTAGAATAAGAGCTTGCTTGACAAGCACAAGGGCCTGAGTTCAATCCCCGGTTCCAGAAAAAAAACCAAAAGAACCTATCACTTAACTTCACATCTTACCTAATTGGGACACTGAATTAAGAGTAAAGAGTACATCAAAACCTCAGAGAATATCGGAAAAGCAGGATTTTTTTTTTTTTTTTTTTGTATCTGCCTTGGGCATTTTCACTATGGTATATCAGAGACCAAAGGTACTTAATCCAGCACGTTCTTATTTTTAGAGTACTGGTTAACGGCCTCTGGTGGCAGTTAAACTAAGCAGGAATTTGTGTGGAGGTGTAGAATTGTTGATGAGTTTTGAAAGAACAGTTCTTGTTCTGCAGTCCTACAATTGGCATTGGAACTTGTATGTGTGGTAGCAAACAAGTGTACCTCTGAATCGCTTGTTTAGAAAAGAAAGGGAAAGTGCCCAGGTTTGATGAGGAGGAGTGAGTTCATCATTTACTATGTGGACGCCATTGCTTGAATTATGCATGATTGCTGGGTTTCTTATGTATAGAATGGAGACTTACATGGCTAACGAGATTTCAATATCAAAAGACTTGGGATCCCTAAACTACGGCACAGATTTTTTTGATGCTTAAGAAATATATTCTCTGACCCAGTAGTCATAGGAATTGCTTTCTTCCTGTGTGTATATGGCTGAGAGAAACGAGTTCTTATGAACATTCATAATAGCACTATTGGTAACCTCTAAATGGAAAAGCTTTGAAGTATTTATCAGCATTGAATGAAAGAATGAATTGTATAACTAGTCAGAATAGTACACAGCAATGAAAAGTAACAACCTACATTTATTTGTTTTATGACACTGAGGACTAAACCCTTCAAACTGAGCTACATCCTCAGCTCTTTTTTATTTTGAGACAGGATCTTTCTAAGTCACTAAGTTTCCCAGACTGGACTCAAACTCAGGATCCTTCTGCTTCTACTTCCCAGTGTGCTGAGAGTACAGGTGTGGACAACCACACCCTGGTAAAATCTCCTGCAATACTCAACAACAATGGTGAATTTTATAGACAAAAGCCAATATAAACAAAGTAGAGGAGCCGGGGAGATAGCTCAGTAGAATATAGTGCTACCCTGGCAAGCACAAGGGCCTGAGTTCAATCCCCAGTTCTGCAAAAAAAAAAAAAAGATTTATTTGATGTTCAAGAATGGGCAGAAGTAATCCCAGCAATGGGGAGTCTCAGAAGGATCACCATGAGTTTCAGGCCAGCCTGGTCTATGTAGTGAGCTCAAGGTCAGTGTCCCAAATAAGGACAAGATCTTGTCTCAAAAAAAGTATGAATAGAGACTTCATGGATTCTAATTTCTATACAGTGATATATATCACAGTTACACTTGACTGTTGATCACATTCCTGCAGTTATTTTTAGAAATGAAAATTCATGAACAGTAGACATTTTAGAAGGACTATTGAATGGTAAAACACTACTTTGTGGTTTTGGAACAGTTGAAGGTATCCTTGGGGACTGAAATAATGAATGACTTGGTTGTTGTTGGAAGACAAGGTAATAGAATTATTTGGTCCAGGAAGATCCAAGATCCATTTCTTTGAACAGAATTTTTTTTTTTTTTTTGGTGGAACCAGGACTTGAATTCAGGCCCTTGCACTTGCCAGGGGAGCATTTATTCCACTGAGCCATCTCCCCGGCCCCTGAACAGAACTGTTGAGGGAAGGAAAAGTGCTAAATATTGTGACCTCTATAAATGGTACCCTCAGAAGGACAGCTAGTAGTCTATAAAGACAAAGTCACGTATTGAAATGTATTCTCTACAAATGAGCACCATAAATTTACTCACTGACAGGACTCTGTATCTGTCATTTACTTCCAAGCTCTACATCATCTCTGGAAAATCAGCTGGTTTGGGGCTGGTGAGATGGCTCAGTGGTCTAAAGCACCTACTTAGAACAAGCTCAGCAAAGCACAGAGACCGCGGTTCAATCCCCCAGCACCACATGCCAGCCAGCCCTGCCCCCTGGTGGGCTGAGCTCCCCCCCCATAAATAAAAAATTTTTTAAAAAATAAATAAATAATAAAAAAAAGAAAGAAAATCAGTTGGTTGCTTGGTTAGTAGGCATTTCCCAAATTAAATATTGCAGACTTGCAAAAAAAACTAGAAAGCTCTTCCTCTGTGGCATAGGAACTGCAAGAAACACATCTTTTTTTAACTCTTGTATCCTCAGAGCTGCACAGATCTTAACTAATTTTTATTTACACTACTAATTAAAACAGTATGTCCCTGACTTAGGGATATTCAAGTTGGCAACCTTCATAGGCGCACCGTACTCTCTAGAACTCACTGTTGGCTTATGAATGAATCAGATTTAAAAACACTTCTCCAGGAATAGAACTCATTTATAAATTGGGGCCTGCCGTATATGCTTTCTTGCACAGTATCTGCATGTATCTATTGAGCACTTGAACTGCTGAAAGTTAAAAATGTCATGTACTGCCAGTTTAAGATATACAAAGGATTTTGTAGACTTAGTATAAAAATGAATGTAAAATATTAACAATTGTGGGGCCAGGGAGATGGCTCAGTGGAATAAGCACTTCCCTGGCAAGTGCAAGGGTCTGAGTTCAATCCCCGGTTCTGCCATAAAAAAAAAAAAAAATTAACAATTGCATGTAAATTACATATTCAAATCACATATTCAAATATTTTGGATATAGTGGATTAAATTTATATATTATTCAAATTAGATTTGCCACCCAAGCAGGGTGGCACACACCTGTAATCCCAGCAATCAGGAGGTTGAGGCAGGAAGATTGCCACAGGTTTGAGACCAGCCTGAGCTACATAGTGAATTCAAGGAAATCCCGGAACTACATAGAAAGACCCTGTCACAAAACAAAAAAATTTGCTTTGCCAATCTCTTGTTATCTTTTCTCTTTTGTTGTTACTAGTGCATGTTTGCAGTTGATGTAGTTTGCGATTATTTTAGGGAATGTTTACATGTATATAGCACAGCTTTTTTATTTATTTTTATGTATTTAGTATAGGGTCTCATTATACAGATTGGACTTGTAGTGATCCTTCCTGTTTTTCAGCCTCCCAAATGCTGGAATTACACACCCAGTCTCAATCACTGTCTCAGTATGCCCCAGGGGCAGGGCTGGCATGACAGTGTGGGGTTCGAGCCCCCAGCCCCTGTATCTGCCTAAGCAGGCACTTTAATCCACTGAGCTATCTGGCTAGCCCTCAAATCACAGCTTTTTTAAAAATCCTATTTCCTCTGTCTCTCTCCTTGGTCCTTCATTCCACATCCCGTTTTTCATTCTTGTTGATATTATTCATCTTAGCTCACGTGATGGCATATATATGTTTACATTGATTGAGATTATTAGGTTCCTGTATGTTGCATATATTCATTCAACTTATTTCCCATTCCCTTCCTCCTCATCCTTTTTTTTTTGTTAGTTGGGCTTTTTTGTTTTTTGAGACAAGGTCTTGTTGTGCAGTTCAGGCTGTCCTTGAACTCACTATGTAGCCCAGGCTGGCCTCAAGCCTGTGATAATCCCCCTGCCTCAGCCTCATGAGTGCTAAGATTACGTGTGTGTGCCACCATGTCCATCTTACCCTTCTTTTTATCTTTTAAAATACAGATACTAGGGGCTGGAGAGATGGCTCAGTGGTCTAAAGCACCTACTTAGAACAAGCTTGGCAGAGCATCAGGGACCGCAGTTCAATCCCCCAGCACCACATGCCAGCCAGCCCCGCCCCCTGGTGGGCTGAGCTGGCCACACACACACACACCACACACTCTCTCTCTCTCTCTCTCTCTCTCTCTCTCTCTCTCTCTCAAATAAATAAATAAATAAATAAAAATAAAAAAAATACAGATACTAGAAAGTGTAAAATTACATTTGTGTCCCGTATTATATTTTTATTGTACAGTGCTATTCTGTCTTGTCTCCTATCCATTTGAACCAGAATGTTTCAGTCACTTAGCACCTTTTTATGTGTATGACATAGTGGCCATATGACTGACTTAAAGGAGAAATCCTTAAATCAAAATTTAATTATAATGTAGATTTTTAA